ATGCAGCTGGGCGGCCGTTGGCGTTTCTAACGGTTAAGAATTAACCCTCATTACTGTCCTGTAATAATAAAAATAATAATAGTAGCACACTTTGCTAGCTGGGGAGGCGTAGATGTAGTGTATTTTAAAAACATCAATGCGAATTTGTTTCATGTCACTTTCCCCTAACCCCCCCAAGAAACCCTGCAAATGCAACTGATCAGAAGTGTTACTTAGACCCAAGGACTGAAGTTACCCATCCTGTGGGTTCCCAGACTTGATAGAGGCATCAGCCCTGGTAAAGCTGGTGGTAATTATTATCAGCAGCAGTGAGAAGTGTTAGGGGAAGTTGTTCTCCTTGGGACTGTGGCCTGCTAGAAGAATATTACTGCTCAGTAGTGTAGCTTCCCACTGAAACCAATTTACATTGGAACACTTTTGCCGCTGCGTGGCTCCTTTGCACCCTTGCCATCAAATACCTTCTGAGGTTTTGGACACATTTTCATTTATTTCATCTATGCGTATTGCTGCAACCGTGAACTAATCACTTAACACCAGCTTTTAAAACACTTTAATTTTTTAATTAGATTTGTTGAAAGATTGTCAAAGGTTTGCGAGCTTCTGATCTTCTTTGAGACTGGAGTTCAGATTTATCAGACATAGGTTTCTGTTTCATTTACTGCAATCTAGGATTTTTGCTTCTACATTTTGTAAATGTAACAGCATCTGGAAAATGTCCAATGTACAACTGGTTACACAAACCTGTTGAATGTTGCAAGTATTCAATACAAATAGTATAAAATACACCAGTATAAGTAAAATTCTATGGAAAGACTGTCAAAATCTTCCCTGGCAGAAACTGGCCAGAGCTTATCTTCTCAATTACTGACATTCCAATTCTGTTTGAGCATTCCTTTTTGCTGGGTGTTTTTGAAATTATATGTCCAGTTATGATGATTTTTAGTATGATTTTTAATGCCTCGTGATTCTTCATAATAATTTGTGCTATGTTTGGTGGGGAAATCTGATCCTGACTTAAGCCAGGAAATCTTACATGAAGGCCAGAAAGTGTGTGTTATTACTTGTGTTTCTTCAGTAGTTCCCGTGGAGGAGTAGTCCTCCTAGTTCTGTGGAGTTTTTGATACCCTTGCTGTAACTAAGTCAAAATTCTGCTTTGGTGAAGGGTTGAAAACTTGCATTAAGACTGAGGGTAAGACTTTTTATGTAAGTAAGCCCTTTGAAATGACACAATAACAAAATCTTCATTTGTATTTTCTCTTTTCCAGACCCATTAGTAACTAATTAATTTTTATTATATATGGAGATTCGCTTTACTTTTTTTTTGAGTGGATTATATCAATTACTTTTCAGTCAAAGAAGGAGAAAACATAATTTGTTCTTAATATTTAGTATCTATGTTTTCATGTGTGGATAAAGTTAGGGTAAGTTTGCTGGTATATTTGAAAGACTTGGTGATGAAGTAACCATATTCTTAGAAGTAGAATGTTACAGGAAATAGTTTTCCAAATCTAATAATCATTTACAATGGAGTTGTCATCTCTAATCCAAAATCTGCATGTTGAAGCTTTGCAGGAGGAATCAGTTAAAGTATCAGGTATGAAATCTCTGCTTTATCTTAGCAATAAGACACTAGGTGTTTGCAAAGCCAGGGTGTGCCACTGGTAGTAAATATTGGTGGCAGTATCCTTGCCTGCAGTCTGCTGAGCCCATATAATAGGAATCTTGGAGGAACTGTCATGAACTATTGCCACTTCTTTTCCACTCCAAGTCCTGCCAAGCCTCGCTTCCTTCCTCATCCCAGAGAAGCTGGCAGAGGTATGAGTCTTCTTGCAAACCCATGTACTTAATTTCCTCGTGAGCAATGGCATGATTCCATTTCCTCTCTTTGTGGATTTCTCAAGTATGTTTTCATCTAAAATGCAAAGCAGTTCTTTTACCTCTGTGAAATTCTTTGAGGCATGTGTAGCAATTGATCTGCATAAAAATTTGTTTCATTATACTCATGTTAAATTCTGTACAAGAGCCTTGTTGAATAAAAACGAGGCAGCTGTCAGCTGGGAAGGCCAATGTAGTACTCATAGGCATGGCAGTAATCTAGTGGAAATCCTGTATGTTTTCTCAGGTAAAATTTTTGTAATGTACTTCTTGTTCATTTGATGCTGCATATTTATGGAATTATGAGTAACCCTAAATACTTCTGATATAGGCATATTTATAAAGAGATTGATTTATGGAGGTTTTCAAACAAGTTGTTATTTCAGGGCCAAAAATACCACAGTTTTTGATTAACAACCTGTTTTAAAATATGCTTTACTACTTCTAATCCATATCTGAAGCCTCCTAATGTGTTATTTTTCTACCATTCCAACAGCAGTCCAGTTGCAATAAACAGATTCTTTTAAGGTGATAATTTCAGTAGAAGTGCCATCTGATAAACAATACGCAGTTCCATTATCTTAACCTTTTAATTAAAATTACCATGAATGTAGACTTAACATCTACAAAGGTCCTGTGTTACATAGTGTATGCAGTAGCTTGTGTTGAGACCTTAATATTAATAATTCATTTAAAATAAAAAGGTCTTTTTCTTCTGATTCTAGGTATGCTTTTACATGTTTATTCACAGTCTCAATACCTTATTTTTAATAGTAATATAAAAGTACTGATACAACATTCTTGTCTGTATAAATCTGTATTTCTTTAAGCGTGTTGAAGTAAGCTGTGTAGTTTTGGGTTTCTGAAGTAGGTTTCCATGTATCTTTTATACATTTTTAGATGATGTTTTGGAGACATTATTTCATCTGTGCTTACATTGTGAGTTTTCTTTCTTATTTTCTTGCTGTTTTGTGTTCAGAAGTGAAATATTACACATGAAAATTCATGATACAGAATGGTCCATGAACAAATTCCAGCCTCTAAATAATGGTTTCCTTTTGTTACATCCTTAGTATATGCCAAAGTGAAAAAAGGCTTGGTTTGATTTAAAAAAGGGCAGACAAGACTGATTTGTTGATTTAGTTCTGTTTCATAATATTAAAACAGGATCCGAATGAAGATACTGAATGGAATGACGTACTGAGACATTTTGGAATTCTTCCTCCAAAAGAAAAACCAAAAGATGAAACTGAAGAAATGGTTTTATACTTGCAGAAAGAAGCAGAAGGCAAGTAAAATTAAAAACACATACCATTAGTATAACAAAATTTGAAAACTGGAGTTATTTTCAATAATGCTTTTCGTAACTTAAATGTTGTAGAATAATTATATTTTTATTTTGATTATTTTCACTTGGTTGTTTTAAAATGGATTCTGAATTAAGCATACAATACAGTTAGTGACAAACATTATGGCATGGAACCTGTATGGATAGCTGATTTTCATAATTTGATAAAAGAACTGGTCAGTATAAGCAAGATTAACATTCTGAACAATTGGTAACAATCCAGTCCTGTATTTCTGTATTTTCCTGTATAGCTAAAGTTAAATAATTTTCATTTTTTCCCTTCTGTGTTACCCAGAGTTATGCCAAAGTCGACTAATTTCTGAAATTAGTACATCATTTTCTTTCATTAATTCCATGTCTGTGTAATACTTCTCATACATTTAAAATGTTTGCAGACACTTTGGAGAACACAAGCTGACTAATTTGTTTGTTGTTTCTAGTGAAACTTTCTGAAAGAATGAATCTTGAAGAACGGAAAGAAGCTGAAGCTGACTCTGATGAGGCTGACAGGAAAGCTATTGAAGCGTACAGGTATAGTACGGTATTTCTGTCCAGGTAACAGTGCTCGTGTCACTACTGTACATGTACATGCTCCTGAAATGGAAGCTTGCAATCCTTTGAGTTGTCATGTCTGCTGACTGACACAACTGTGTTTTTTCATCTTCCACTCCTTTGACAGCAGACAGACAGCACTCATGTTACTGTCCTACTTCTTCCTGATTAACAATGGCAAAGAGAAGCAGTTTACACCATCTTTTACTCCGATGTTTTGTTAGAACAAAATGTAGTCTGAAAGCTGGATATTTCAAAGAAAAAGAATAGAAGGAGCCACAGTGGAAACCACTGTTACAGATCTGTAACTGTAAACTGTACTTCTCACTGTGCCACTCTGAAGATACTTTCTGCCACTCTTTAGGAGTTGGCGGAATGATGATGAATGTTCAGAGAAAGAAGTTCTGTATCCCATTTTCTTTCTTCTCTTGTGGATAGCATTTTCTGTAGATCTGAAACCAGGAAGAAATGGACAATTGGTCGCAGGTGGCCCTTCTCTATCACATTGCACAAGAACACCAGGAAGAACAAGGTCCAAACATACATGGCTCCAGCTTTGTGAATGATACTGAGTTTGTGCCTATGGAGTACACGCCACCTATATAATGCCACCCTAATACACAACTATTGTGCCTATTTTGCTTCTTAGCCAAGATTGATTTTAATGGCTTCATGAAAATACTAATTTGAAGCTAATATTGAAGGAAGGCTCATGGGAGATCTAGTCAATATCTGTAAATATCTGAGGGGAGGGTATAAAGCAGACAGAGACAGGGTGTTTTCAGTGGTGCCCAGTGACAGGACTAGAGGCAGTGGGCACAAACTGAAACACAGGAGGTTCCCCCTAGACGTCAGGAAACACTTCTTTTTTTTTTTACTGTGAGGGTGATTGAGCACTGGCACAGGTTGCCAAGAGAGGTTGTGGAGTCTTCATACTTGGAGATGTTCAGAAGCTGTCTGGACACATTCCTGGGCAACTGACGCATTCCTGGGCTGGTGCTGCTTGTGCAGGGAGGTTGAATCAGGTGACCTCCGGAAGTGCCTCCAACCTCAGCCATGCTGCGGCTGCGTGACTCCGCGATACACGGTAGGCTGCTCTTGAGCATAACTGCAGCACAGCCTTAGTCAGCCATTCCATAGGTGCACACCAATCACTTGACTTAAAATGCCGTGCAGAGTCAATACATTTTAGGAATTCAGGTTCACAAAACCTTGCCACCTTGTATGGAGACTTAGTAATTTTAGCCATACTGGACATTCACACGTATATTTCTATAAGTATTTTACAAAGTACTTTGCTGAGTTCTACTGAGCTTTGTGCTGTAACTAATAAAAATGAGACATGCACTTCACACAGCATAAAAAAGCTAATGTGATCAAAATATGTCCTCTGTCTGGATTCTACCTGTACTTACTGCTTTTGCATTGTTAAAATGACCAAAATAATTCTAGTGGTAGAACAGTGTTTCTAGTTTTTTATTCTCACAGGAAGAAAATAATTCACATAATTTTGTGGAAATTGTGAACCTAAATTATCATGCATTGTTTATAGAGTATAGTAACATTGCAGGTATATTTTTTGATCTTCTTTGGAAAATCCACTTCTATAGTGGCTTTTAGTTAGTAAAATTAACAGTTGCTTTTAGTTTAACAAATCTCAGTAAGGCATTTTCCTTTTTTACCCTGCAAGTATTGTAATAGGTGAAGACTGCCATCTACTGTTTTTACATTCCAGTTTTCACTATTTATTTAAAAATTGCCTGGTGAATATTAATAAAAATACTGGTAGTTCTTCCTCAACCTAATCTTGTTTTCATAAAAAATTGCTTTAAGTTTTTCTTGCTTTGTCTCAAATGCTAAACCCTTGTGCAACATGTGTATTACTCAAGTTTCCAAAATCTGATACTAATGAACTCAGAAAATGTATTTTAATGTTATCTCTAATTGAATAAAGATTAGCACAGAAGTCTTTCTAGTTCTGAAATTATGTTGAATCTTGAACTAAATGTTACTCAAAGCAGTTTTTTTTAGATAATTGAGAGAAATGGACTAGAAATTATTGAATAAATGCATTTGAAATATGCCAGGGATGCTTACTGTTTTTATTACTCTTTAATTAGGCAGCAGCGCTTGCAAGAATGGAAATGTCCTCAGAGGAGGCAAAAGTATGGGGAGCTAAGAGAAATCTGTGGAGAACAGTACATAAAGGAAGTTACAAATGCTCCAGAGGATGTTTGGGTTATAATTCATCTTTATCGGTCAAGGTACTTACATTCTTGTTTAAGACGGTGAATATTTCAGTACAGAGAATTGAGCTAGTAATTAAAAACCAATACCAAGAAAAACAAAATACAATAGGCTAATGAAATAGAAATTGTTTGGAGGCAACAGAATCATAGAGCATTGAACCTCCTTGATTTGTTAATTCACTTTGTGAAAGTTAATAGTTTTTGTTCAGTTATGTGAAAGATTTCTTTTGCTGTGTATGCGTATCACAGTGTACTTAACTTCACTGAGATTTCTGAATTTCACTGAGAAAGTGGTGTCCACTGTCTGTATTAAGGGAAGTTCATTTGCAGATTCTTTTCTCAGTAGGAGTGCTCTAACAGGATTATTCTACCTTTATTTCCCCTTTGATTTGAAGAAATCAAAAGCCCAATAGGAAGTAGCTGTTAAAAGGTAAGAAAATTGAGGGAAGCTATGGAATTTGTTAGTTTATCAGTTCCCCAATAAATTCTTTAATGGTAGTAAAAGTTAACAGGATCCAGCAGAAATATAAAAAGACTCACATGATTAGTTCAGCATATGATAGCCACTCTATTAGACATTTTTCAAAATCACTGAGAATTAGTATGGCATGTTTAATGGATTTTTTAGATTCAGACCAGCTTTCACTTTTCTTTCTTTTTAAGCCTGTTGGGAAGAAGCTTCTCTGATTCTTCTCAATTGCCGGGAATTGAGTATTATTTCCAGAAGCAATAGGAATAGGTAAATCAAATGAAATTATTCAAATTACAGTAATTTAAATTTACAGATCTGAAGAAAGAATAGCAGCTTTTCTTGCTTTTTATTCATAGAGTCATAGAATCGTTTAGGTTAGAAAAGACCATAGAAAGAACCAGTTCTATACTTTACCATTGCATAAATGCAAGTCTGTGAGGAAATTCACAATTTCTTAGGAATGAATATGAGAAGTTCAGTTTCCTATGGCTAGTAACAGTACTGCCTCACCTGCCTTTGGCAGCAAGAGGGTGCTGCTGGAACTCTCTGAGGGTCCACAGGCTGAAGTGGCTCCTTTAACTTCAGCCAGTTTCAGGAAAGATCCCAACTTCTAAAAGGTTAATGAGCTGGAGGGGAACAAAAAAACCCTATTGCTTTTAGGGTTTCTTTGTGGGTTTTGTTTTTTGTTGTGTGTGTGTGTTTTGGTTTTGTTTTTTTAGCTGAGGTTTATATAATGATTGTATTGCAAATAGTAGCTATGAAGGTAATTAACAGGAACAGGCCTCTGGTGGTAACATGACTATACTAAGGTTTCCCTGATGTTTCTGAGACATTACTAAAAGAATGAAGTAGTAATTGTGTTAAAATGGAAGACATTTCAAATATATTAAGGTAAAATTTGCATTACAGATTAAAAAAAAAGGTCATTTAAACTCTACAATAAATGGACAAAGTGAGCTTTAAAGTCTTAGTGGAGAACAAAATGGAGGCGCAACACCTGAAGCGTCCCGTAGTTTCACTGATCTATTTCACAGACTGTGCCTATTACGTATTTTTACCTGAACAGTGGTCTTAAAAGAAGCTGCATGAAATTTGTGGTACTTGTAACAAGTTGAAGTAGAAACAGAAGATAGCAAAAGGTCCAATTATTCCTCAAAGGCTTTGTTTTTAATAACCTTATTTTACAAATCATTTGCACCAGAAGAAACATCATACTTCCTTATTCTTTTCTAGCATCCCAATGTGTTTACTGGTTAATGAACATCTCAGCCTGCTGGCCAGAAAGTTTCCAGAAGTAAAGTTTCTCAAAGCCCTTGTAAACAGCTGCATTCAGAGTTACCATGACAGATGTTTACCCACAATACTTGTATATAAAACTGGTGAAATAAAAGGCAGGTTCGTTGGAGTAGCTGAATGTGGGGGAATATATCTCAAAGTGGAAGGTATGAGAAATATTTTTAAATAATTAATATTAAAGAAAATGTTATGTTGCTTATAATGAGATCTAAATAGCTCTAAGGTGGAAAAGGGTTCTTATATTATTTTTGTAAGAAAAAATTACAAAAACTGAAGAACATATGTAATTCTGTAGTAAGAATACTGGTTAAGCTTGGATATTTTGCCATTTAACAGCTGTTTTACTGTGATAAAATTGAGTTGTTGCAAGGATGGCCTATTTTTTGTTGTTTTTCTCTTAAGTGAGTATACATTGCCGCTATCAGAATAAAGTATGATTTGTTTTTACAGAGCTTGAATGGAAACTAGCAGAAGTTGGAGCAATAGAAACTGACTTGGAAGAAAACCCCCAAAAGGACATTAGGAATATGATGACACTGTCAGTGCGAAATATTTCTGCTTATGATGACACCAATGCAAAAAGCAGTGATGTGATGAAACCATCAATTACTTAAGAAAACTTTAATGTGGATCATCTATTCAGACATAAATCAACTCAAGTACAGTTTTTTACTCCTTTGATAGGCTTGAAACACACACAAGAAGATCTTTTGTTTCACTTGGATACTTTTTTGTTTTGAGTTGTGGAAGAAAATTGAGATAGTAAATGAAAGCCATATTCACCTCTAGATGCATACAGAAAGCTGTCATTTACAGTGAGAGTCTGGATTCTCTGTTTCACACAAACTCTGCTTAAATGTAATGGGAAGGGGATCATATTAGCTAGTGGGCTCTAAGCTGTACTTTCTTCCTCCTTTTATCCAGCATGGGTGCAAGATACTCCTTTAATTCTCAGTGGAATGAGCTAATGAAGACTTGTTATATATATTTGGCATGGTTTATACCATCAGGATGGAGAAAGAAAAATGAAACAGAAACTTCCATTATTGACTTTTCAGGTGGGCAGGGATAAACTTGCACAAGAAGTCTGGGAGCAATGAAGACAGACTTCAGGCCCCTGGGATAACTGGCCAAGGGATCAGAAGCATAGGTTGTGTTCTCCTCTATCCCCCCAGCTGCAGGGCATGATGAGGGCATGATGAGGAAGAGCCAGCAGATCACTACCTGGCTCCAAGCCTGATGTCACTGATGGGACTTCATGTTTTTTGGTCACAGGTTGGTTTACATGACACCAGGCCCACTGGTGAGAGACAGGGTACACGTGGCTCAAAGGGGAAAAAGGGTCTTTGCAGAGAAGTTGGCTCACTGAAAGGGCTTTAGACTGGATTTGAAGGGGGAAACAGACAAAACCAGGCTTTATAGGGAGCAGCCTGAGGGCAGCACGCCAGTGTCTGAGAGATGGTCTGCTAGTGAGGTACTTCAACTGCCGTCTCGGTAGAGGAAGATCCATGTGTCAGCACAGATGGAAGGATTAATGCATCAAAAGCTACAAAACACCCTGACAATGGTCATGTAGGGGATAGGACTTCTCCCCTGTTCTGTTTAACATCTTTACCAAAGATTTGGATGAAGGGATCAAGGGCACCCTCAGTGAGTTTGCAAATGACACCAAATTGGGTACGGACATAGGTAAGGTTGAGGGTAGGAAGGCTCTGCAGAGGGATCTGGATGGGCTGGATCAATGTGTCAAGGCCAACAGTGTGAGGTTCAACAAGGTCAAGTGCTGGGTCCTGTACTTGGTCACAGCAGCCCCAGGTAATGCTGCAGGTTTGGGGATGAGTAGCTGAAAAGCTGCCTGGTGGAAAAGGACCTGAGGGCATTGATCAACAGTCACTGAACATGAGCCAGCAGTGTGCCCAGGTGGCCCAGAAGGCCGACAGCATCCTGGTTTGTATCAGAAATGGTGTGTCCAGCAGGAGTAGGGAAGTGATTATACCCCTGTACTTGGCATTGGTGAGGCTGCACCCTGAGTACTGTGTTCAGTTTTGGGCCACTCACTACAAAAAGGACACTGAGATGCTGGAGCATGGCAACAAAGCTGGTGAAGAGTCTAGAGAATAAGTCTTACAAAGTGCAGCTGAGGGAAGTGAGGCTGTTTATCCTGGAGAAAAGGAGGCTCAGGGGAGACCTTATCACTCTCTAAAACTATCTGAAAGGCGGTTGTAGCAAGGTGGGGGTTGGGCTCTTCTCCCAAGTAACAAGGGACAGGATGAGAGGAAATGGCCTCAAGTGGTACCAGAGGAGGTTTAGGTTGGATATTAGGAAAAACTTCTTCACCAAAAGGGCTGTCAAGCACTGGGACAGGCTGGGCGGGGGGGGGGGGGGGGGGACCGCGAGGTATTTAAAAGATGTGTAGCTGAGGGACAGGGTTTAGTGGTGGGTTTGGCAGTGTTGGGTTAGTGGTTGGGCTCAAATGATCTTAAAGGTCTTTTCCAACCAAAAAGATTCTATGATGGTGGGACAGCTGACTTAACGTTTGGCACATAGATAGGTAAGAACAACAAAATTAACATTAGCCTTTTTTTTTTCACTAAGGATACAGCCATACTATTAGTAGGTCTCTACTGGCAGGTAGCACATGTAGAAACTGTCATTTTGCTGATTCAGCAATAACTAGTAGATGGATTTCAGAGGTAATGGCTGATCTGCCATCATCTGCTATTTCAAACTAGAAGGCTACCTAGTAGTTTTAAACATAAATAGGTCATCGCTGAGTTCAGGTGGGATTTCACAGCCACGTCCGGTAACGACGAGTGTTGGCTGCTAGAACAGGAGTTACTACCGCCCGCTTCCTCTTAGCAGTGAACCTCCCCCCTGCTCCCCTGGCTGCCGTGAGGTACAAAAGCACAACACACAACTGTACAAGTGCTAGTGTTGTCACATTGGAAGTAATAGGAACATTTCACGAGATAAGACAGGAAAGGGCTAAACCTCCCCTTTGGTGACCCTTCATCAAAGCAAAGTGCCACATGATCACAGTAACAGCCATCAGGTGTGAAAAAGCAGCAGCAAAATCCAAGGAAACAGCAGATGTTTCTGGTTCTTGGTTAGT